CTGAGGCAGGAGAACTGTTTGAGCCAGGGAGTATGAGACAGCTTGAGCAACATAGTGAGATCTTACCTCTACAAGTAATAAAAAAAAATTAGCTGGCCATGGTGATGCATGCCTGTGGTCCCAGCTACTTGGGAGGCTGAGGTGGGAGAACTGCTTGAACCCAAGTGGTTGAGACTACAGTGAGCCATGATAGTGCCTCTGCACTGCAGCCTGGGCAACAGAGTGAGACTCCATCTCAAAAATAAAAATAAAAGAATAATAAAAAATAAATAAGACAAGAGATTTTGGGGACTAGAGACAGAATGATATAGTTTAGATATCTGTCCCCACCAAATGTCATGTTAAAATGTTATCCCCAACGTTGGAGGTGAGAGGTGTTTGTAACATGAGATAAGATCCCTCATGAATAGCTTGGTGCTATCATGTAATGAGTGACTTCTCACTCTATTAATTAACAGAAGAACTAATTGTTAAAAAGAGCCTGATACCCCTCCCTTCTCTCTCTCGCCATGTGACATGCCAGCTCCACTTCCCCTTCCATCATGATTAAAAGCTTTCTGAGGCTCTCACTAGAATCAGATGCTGATGCCATACTTCTTGTAAGGCCCGCAAAATTATGTACCAAGTAAATCTATTGTCTTTATAAATTACCCAGCCTCAGGCATCCCTTTATGATAACTCAAACAGACTAAGAGAGTGCTCTTATAAAAGGGGCTGCAGGAACTTGTTTACCCCTTCCACCATGTGAGGACACAGAGAGCATCATCTATGAAGCAGAGAGCCTCACTGACACTGAATCTGCTGGTGCCTTGATTCTGGACTCCTTTCAAAACTATGAGAAATAAATTCCTGTTGTTTATAAACTACCTAGTCTAAACGTATCTTGTTACAGCAGCTCAAACAAACTATTAATAAAACAATACTAACATTCAGAAATGAAGGCAGGAAATGCTAAGAGTGATGTGAGAAGCAACAGCAAAAAGTGGTGTTAAGAGTTCAGACTATGCTAATCATCCCAGACAAGCACAGGGTTGTACAATCATCTATCACCTTCTAGAACAGTTTCATCACCTTAAAAAAGAAACCCTGTGCCCCTTAGCTATTACCTCCCAACTCCCCAGCTTCCTCAATCCGAAGGAGCCACTAATCTGCTTCCTGTCTCTATAGATTTGCCCACTGTAGAAATTCCATATAAACAGAATCATATAATACATGGAATTTTGTGACTAGCTTCTTTCACTTAGTTTGTTTTCAAGGTTCATTCATACATTTTGTAGCAAGTATCAGTATTTCATTCCTTTTTATGGCCAAATAATATTCCATTATATGGATATACCACATTTTGTTTATCCTTTCATCAACTGATGGTCACCTGGGTTATTTCCACTTTTTGGCTATTATGAATAATGCTTCTGTGAATATTAGTATATAAGTTTCTGTAGTATAACTTTTATAAGAGATGTGAATTTTCATAAAGCTAAATTTATGCAATTCAAAATACTTTGAGACAATGTCCTTCAAATTTTTTTTTTTTTTTAAGAGATAGGTTCTCTCTCTGTCACCCAGGCTGGAGTACAGTAGCCCATTCATAGCTCACTGCAACTCCAGCTCCTGGGCTCTACTCCTGAGTAATTCTCTGGCCTCAGCCTCCTAAGTAGCTGGAATTACAGGCATGAGACACTAAGCTCTGCCAAACTTTTTTTTAAAAAATATTAAAACATCCTTTTTAAATGAAATGATGGCAGCATCAAAAAATAGTTTTGTTAATGTGCTTATTAGGTAAAATAATTATTTAAAATTTTGCTTTTCTGTTAAATCCAAGTCTAAAAAAAAAAATGGAAGAAAATACAAGACAGTGTCTAAAGAAAACTAAGGTTTTCCCCTGGAGTTGAGATCACATACTGTCAACAGTAGGAGATGAAATACATAGGGCAAAAGGCAGATCTTCTCAGGCTAAGGAATTTGGGGATTATCCCACAGTCAATAAGTAAATTAATAAAGCTGTTTAAATATAAAATTATTGATTCTAAGACATCACTTCATTCAACAAACAGTAACTGAGCTACTATTATATAAAAAGCACTGAATTTGGTACTATGAGTGATTCCAAAAAGACCTTTGCCTCTGACACTACCAAAACCACTCCAGATAAAATTCCAAAAGACCTCAAATTGCTAAATCCAATTTTTATTTTTCAGTTCTCATCTTACTTGACCTACCAGTAGCATTTGACATAAGTAAAACATTCTCTCCTCCTTGAAATACTGTCTTTCTTTCCTTTTTTACTGAGACAGTCTGGCTCTGCTGCCTAGGCTGGAGTGCAATAGCACGATCTCAGCTCACTGCAACCTCCGCCTCCTGGGTTCAAGTGCTTCTTATGCCCAGGCGTCCTTCAGTAGCTGGGATTACAGGTATGTGCCATCATGCCCTGTTAATTTTTCTACTTTTTAGTAGAGACAGCGTTTTACCATATTGGTCAGGCTGGTCTCAAACTCCTGGCCTCAAGTGATCTGTCTGCCTCAGCCTCCCAAAGTGCTGAGATTACAGGCATGAGCCACCATGCCTGGCCAAAATACTTTCTTTACTTGGCTTTTAAGACACCATACTCTTTTGGGTTTTGTTCTTACAATACTAGTGGCTCCTTGGCAGTCTCATAAGCTGGTTCTTCCACAGCTCCACAATTTATAACCATTAAAAGTATTCAAGGTTCAGCCCTTGCACCACTTGCATCTCTGGTCTACCTCACTTTCTTAATGCTTTCAGCCTCAAGGCTCCACTAGGATGTAGCTTCAACAGGGTGAGGATTGGGCTATTTTGTTTATACTGGATCCCCTGCACATAAAACAGTCCCTGGCATATAGTAGGTACTTGACAAATATTTGTTCAATAAATGGATGAATACATGGCTTTATACATTGTCTATAAACTGATGAATTCTCCAATTTATATTTCCTAAATGGATCTCTGTCTTGCGCTCCAGATATAGCCAACTGCCTAACTGTTATCTCCATTTGAATGTGTAAAACACATTTCAAACTTAATGACTTAATGAGAGAACTCCAAATGATCGTCCCAATGGCTTCTCCAACTCGTTTCACTTTCTTAGCAAAGTGTAGCCCCATCCTTTGTTTCTCAAGCCAAAAATTTTCTCAAACAGTAACTGAGCTATTTACTACATAAAAAGCACTGAATTTTGGTGCTTTTTATATAGCACCAAACTATAACTCTTTTTTTTTTCTTCTGAGACAGAGAACTTTGTCACTCAGGCTGGAGTGCAGTGGCACGATCTCGGCTCACTGCAACCTCTTTTTCCTAGGTTCCAGCAAGGACTGAACCTTGTTTCAGCCTCATTCTTCTGAGTAGCTGGGATTACAGGCATGCACCACCATGCCTGGCTAATTTTTGTATTTTTAGTATTAATAGAGACAGGGTTTTGCCATGATGACCTGGCTGGTCTCAAATTCCTGGCTTCAAGTGATCCGCATGTCTCAGCCTTCCAAAGTGTTGGGATTTCGGGCGTGAGCCACCACCTCCAGCCTAACTCCTTTTCTTTCACACTACACATCCAATCTGCCAACAAATACTGTGTATTGTGCCTTCACAATATAACCACAATCTGTTTATTTCTCACCACGTCCATAGTTCTCGTTACAGTTCAAGCCGTTATTATGTCTCACCTGGATGAGTACCAACAGCTTCTTAACTAGACTTCCTGCTTCTTGTCCACCCCCGCTCCCCAATTCAGAACCACAAGCAGAGAAATTATTTTTCAAACTTACATCAGATCGCATTACTTCTCTGCTAATAATCCTAGAGTTATTCCCATTTCACTCTGGGTAAAAACCCAAATCTTGAAAACTGCTTATAAGGCTCTCGTCGATCTGACCCTAAGTCAACTCTGACCTCATCATCTACTATTTTTCCCTCACTTATTCTGCTCCAGTCATACTCGATTCTTTTGCTCTTCCTTCTAAAGGTCAAGCACATTTCTGCTTTTTTCCTTACTCTTCCCTTTACCTCGAATGGTCTTCCCCTAGATATCTGCATCCCACCACCTCCTTCGGGTCTGCTCAACTGGCATCCTCTCTGAGACTTTTCTCCTGATCATCAATATTTAAAATTGCAATCCCATCCCTACCCTTGTATTCTTTATTCCTGTAAATTACTCTGCTCTATTTTTCTTCCCAACACTTATCACCACCTAAAATACTACCTATTTTACTTTCTGCTTGAAGACATGACTTTTTGTCTTTCACTCACTGCTGTATCCCTAGCATTTAAATCAGTGCCTGGCATGTGGTGGTAAGTGATCAATAATCTATTTGTCGAGCTAATGCTTTCATGTCCACCAGGGGGCCTAACAATCATGTAGCCCGGTGTTTCAGGAAAAGATCGCAAAGCGTCTCTAAGATTTCTTTCAGTGCTCTGATCCCTAGAAGGACTACATCTTGCCTAGAAAGACAAACTGTGCTTTGTCTCGGCTACCACAAGGAGGAGTTGAGAGAAAGAACTGAGCAGAGAAACCAGATAATGCTGTTTCCCTTGCTTTTCCCACAGTAACCTCAAGGTGGAAGAAAACTGGATTTGGAGCAGGTTGTACTGAATGAATGATTATTCTCCATACTATGAGTTACCTAGACACGAACATAAACAGGAAACACCACAATCCTTTCGAATGCCACAAAGAGGCCAACGGAATCCACATACAGGCGACTAAGGACAGGAAGGGTGTTTCTTTAACTCCAGCACTAAGAATTCTCCACGAATCCAGTGGAAGAGCTCCTGTTAGCACAGAAAGACACATAAGGCCGAGTGTTCCAGTCGTCAGAACTCTCCGGCCAGAGAATTATTAAGTCAGTTCTACTTAATACCTAACGCGTCTACAATACTTAAGCGATATAAGCAAGGCAGTCCCACGTCAAATTTTCAGATTTGACGGATCGCATGGAATTCATTAACATCAAACACCCCAATCCATTTCCCACGGGCTTGTGACTCACCGCCACCTGTTGATGCCCACATTGGAGGAGCCGGCAAACCAGGGGTCCAGGATGTAGACGCAGCGGATGGTGTCGGCGCCCTGAATGCACTCCTTCAGGGCAGGGTTGTCGTGGAGCCGGAGCCCCTTTCGGAACCAGTGCACGGCGTTCACCCCCATGCCGGGGGGCGCGGCGGTTCCTCCACAGAGAAATTCAAGGAAGAAGGCTCCGGCTCATAGCCGACACCTTCGCTTCCAAGAGAATTGCCTCACCCGGGGAGTCAGGAAAGGGCGGCAGAGGGGGGACAGGAAAAAATGACTCCAAGGAGGCGACCGGAGAAGGCGGGGGCGCTGGAGGCGCAGTGGGAAGATGAATGGAGGTTGCCCAGCCGGCAGAGTCCGGGTGTGACGCCCTTTAGGAGCCCGCGCCCGCCACAACCGTCTGGAGGCGCCGCATAACTTCGAGGGCCTCGGACCTCCGGAGCCTGGGCAAGTTCCACGAGCTCGAGCCGCCACGACTGCCCGAGCCGGCACCGACGGCCCCAGGAGGTTCGTCACGGAAACCTCGCCCAAACCGAGGCGGCCCCTGAGGACAAAACGGCCCGCCCGAGGTGAGTCACCGAGGAGAACTGGAGTGGAATGAGCCCCTGTCGGCGACGCTGTCTCTCGGCCCGGGAGAAAGGACCGGGATGGAGGACGGAGACGGTGGTCGAGGCCGCTGGACGGTTGCCTGCCGGTGACCGGTCCCGAGGCTGCCCGGGTGACTCTGCCGCCGCCGCCGCGTCAGCGGCTTCCGCCCCGCCCCCGCCTCCTTATTGGACGGCGCACTCCCCACGTGACCACCGGCACCTCACGTTTCTGAGGTGTGTTTACTACACTGGCTCGGAGGGGGAAATCTGCTAGCGCTTCAGTCGCTTTTGGAGGAGCGGCAGCCGCTTGATCCCAAAACTGTTGACCCTTGCCCACACGCTAAGCCCACTGCCTCTGCCCCTTTCCTGTGCCGACTGGCGGCTGTCCATCGAAACCACCCGCGTTGACCACAGGCCCCTTGTGAGGGAAGGCTTAGCCCCGCCCCCGGTGGCCGTGAGTGGCTACCATTGGCCGAGGCTCTCTGAGACCCGGATGAGCACGGGGATGCGGGAAGCTCGCGGGCGCGCGCTCTGCTCGAGGAGGCGCGCGTGCGCTTTCGCTGCTTTCCAGTGGGTAAGAGGGCGGGGCCGGCCGGCCGGAGCGCGCTCAGCGATTCCTCCCGTGGGATTTGGGGAAGGCCAGGAATTGTCCGGTGTCCTCAGGAGCCAATGGTGGAGTCGGGCGGAGAGAGGGAGGATGGAGTGGAAGGAGGAAGCTCCCCGTACATTTCAAGTCCAAACCATGTGCTTCAATCCTGCTTTGGCCAGAGAACCCTACTTTGGAGAATGTGGAACTGTGCCCCCCACCCCACTCTCCTGGTCCTTCGGTGCCTCACCCTTGTACCTGGTCAGGGGAAAAGGATAATTGGCAGGAGAGATGCCAGGCATTCCTGGACTTCCTGGAATTTTTTAATACTAGCGATATGTATCATCAACGTATCAACCCTAATCTCTTACATTTAATGTAGTTTACTGGGCTCTTTGAGACTAGACATCTGTCTACTTTTACAGTGTTAGTGAGCTGCAGGCCATGCCATCCCTTAGATATATGATGCTCTTAAATTCATTCATTGATTACTTCTTGAATGAACTAGGCACTATTCAAAGCACCAGAGATATAGGAGATACTTAATACTTAATAAAATAGACAAAAATCCTAGCCCTCCTGGGGCTTACAGTTTGTCTCTTAACCTTTGTATGTGCTGTGCTGTGTTTTCCTCTATAAAATTCTCTTCTTTGGATCCAGTACTCAATATAACCACCTTTGAGCTACCTAGGATATTTCTACACACCCCTTTAGACTCAGATGAAATAATACCTAATTTCTGAAAGTATTCCTGACCCCTGGGAAAAATTTAGGACCTCCCTGGGTTCTCCAAGTATGTTTCTGTATGTCCAAGTATGATACGTCACTTATCACACTATTGTAAAAATTAGTTGAAAAGTGCCTATTATAATACCTAGCAATACCCACTCAATAATAGTACTTATCATAACAGTGTGCCTCTGATTCCCTCCGAAATGCGATTTCTCAAGGAGAGGGTCTGTATTCAGTTTTGTTTTTATTTTTTTCATCAACACCAGAACAGAGCCTGACACATGCAAATGTTTATTTAATGAATGAATGGATGAATGAGTGAGTGCTGTTGGCCACCAGAGTGTTTGGCAAAGTTAAAAGAAGGAAGAAACCTATAACCAATTCTTTTGTGTCCCAAATTTCATATAACCCTCAATGACTATAAATTTGACCTTATTTGGAAATAAGGTCTTTGCACATGCTCAAGTTAAGATGAGGTCATTAGGGTGTACCCTAATCCAATGTGATTGGTGGCCTCATATAATGGAGAAATTTAGACAGAAATATATATATACATGCAGCTAAAATACCATGTAAAGATTGGAATTGTGCTGCCACAAGCCAAGGAACTACTGGAAGTTAGGAGAAAGGGCTGGAACAGATTCTTTCTTAGTAGCTTCACAGGACTGTGGCACTGCTGACACCTTGATTTTGGACATCTGGCCTCTAGAACTGTGAGACATTAAATTCCTATTGTTCTAAGCCTCCCAATTTGTGGTACTTTTTTACAGCAGCCCTAGCAAACTAATGCAGCAATAAAGTAAATTCAATACTCTAGAGAGCCAATCTGTCTCAATAGTCTTCCCTACTTCTGCTTCTGTTGCCACAAGAAGTATATATCAGCCTTTCTTTGGTTCTGCAAGAATACTTTAAAAATTATATATATGGGCTGGGCATGGTGGCTCACAGCTGTAATCCCAGCACTTTTGTAGGCTGAGACAAGCGGATCATGAGGTCAGGAGTTCGCGACCAGCCTGGCCAACATAGTGAAACCTCATCTCTACAAAAAATACAAAAAATTTTTGTTGTCAAGCAGGAGAATCACTTGAACCCAGGAGGCAGAGGTTGCAGTGAGCTGAGATCGCGCCATTGCACTCCAGTGGGGGCGACAGTGCCAGACATTGTCTCAAAAAAAAACCCAACAATTATGTATATGAATGATATGGTTTGGCTGTGTCCCCACTCAAATGTCATCTTGAATTGTAGTTCCTATAATCCACATATTTTAGGAGGGACCCAGTGTGAGGTAATTTAATCAGGGGGCAGTTCCCTTCATGCTGTTCTCGTGATAGTGAGTGAGTTCTCACAAAATCTGGTGGTTTTATGAGGGACTTTTCCCCCTTTTGCTCAGCATTTCTCCCTGCTGCCTTCATGTGAAGTTGGCTTCCCCTTCCACTGTGATGGTCAGTTTCCTGAGGCCTCCCCAGCCATGCTGAACTGTGAGTCAATTAAACCTCTTTCCTTTATAAATTACCCAGTCTTGGGTGTGTCTTTTTTAGCAGAATGAGAACAGACTAATACAGTGAATTGGTACTGGGAGTGGGGTGCTGCTATAAGGATACCCAAAAAAGTGGAAGTGCCTTGGAACTGCGTAACAGGCAGAGGTTAGAATGGTTTGGAGGCTCAGAGGAAGACAGGAAAATGTGGGGAAGTTTGGAACTTCCTAGAGACTTAGAGGGCTCAAAAGACAGAAATATGTGGGGAAGTTTGGAACTTCCTAGAGACTTGTTGAATGGCTTTGACCAAAATGCTGATAGTGATATGGACAATGAAGTCCAAGCTGAGGTGGTCGCAGAGGGAGATGATCTTATTGGGAACTGGACTAAAGGTGACTCTTGCTATGTTTTAGCAAAAGGATTGGTGGCATTTTGTCCCTGCCCTAGAGATCTGTGGAACTTTGAACTTGAGAGAGATGATTTAGGGTGTCTGGTGGAAGAAATTTTTAAGCAGCGAAGCATTCACGGTGTGACTTGGATGCTGTTAAAAGTATTAGTTTTATGTGTTCACGAATATATGGTTTGGAATTGGAACTTATGTTTAAAAGGAAAGCAGAGCATAAAAATTTGGAAAATTTGCAGCCTGACAATGTGATAAAAAAGAAAAACCTATTTTCGAAGGAGAAGTTCAGGCCAGCTGCAGAATTTGCCCAAGTAATGTGGAGCCAAATATTAATCCCCAAGACAATGAGGAAAATGTCTCCAGGGCATGTCAGAGGTCTTCACAGGAGCCCCTCCCATCACAGACCCAGAGGCCTAGGAGGGAAAAATGGTTTTGTGGGACAGGCCCAGGGCCTTGCTGCTTTATGCAGCCTTGGGACTTGCTGCTCTGTTTCCCAGCTGTGGTTAAAGGGGGCCAAGGTACAGCTCAGGCCATGGCTTCAGAGGGTGTAAGCCCTAAGCCTTGGCAGCTTCCACATGGTGTTCAGCCTGTTGGTACACAGAATTCAAGCATTGAGGTTTGGGAACCTCTGCCTAGATTTCAGAGGATGCGTAGAAATGCCTGGATGTCCAAGCAGAAGTTTGCTGTGATGGTAGATCTCTCATGTAGAACTTCTGCTAGGACAGTGCAGAAAGGAAATGTGGGGTTGAAGCCCCACACAGAGTCCCCACTGGGGCACTGACTAGTGGAGCTATGAGAAGAGGGCCACTGTCCTCCACACCCCAGAATGGTAGATCCACCAACAGCTTTCACTGTGCACCTGGAAAAGCCACAGACACTGAAAACCAGCCCGGGAAGGAAGCTGGGAGGTGGGGGCTGTGTCCTGCAAAGCCACAGTAGCATAGCTATCTGAGGCTGTGGGAGCCCACCTCTTGCATTAGATGTCTCACCTGGACGTGAGACATAGTCAAAGGAGATCATTTTGGAACTTTAAGGTTTAAGGACTGCCCTATTGTATTTCAGACTCGTAGGGGGCCTGTAGGCCCTTCATTTTGGCCAATTTCTTCCATTTGGAATGGGTGTATTTACCCAATGCCTGTAACTCCCTACATTATAGGAAGTAATTAACTTACTTTTGATTTTACAGGCTCATAGGTAGGAGGGACTTGCCTTGTTTCAGATGACTTTGGACTTGGACTTTTCAGTTAATACCTGAATGAGTTAAGACTTTGGGGGATGGTTGGAAGGGGATGATAGTGCTTTAAAATGTGAGGGCATGAGATTTGGGAAGGGTCAGGCCTGGAATGATATGGTTTGGCTCTGTCCCCACCTAAATCTCATCTTGGATTGTAGTTCCCATAATCCCCATGTGTTGTGGGAAGGACCCAGTGGGAGATAATTTTATCACTGGGGCAATTACCCTCATGCTGTTCTCATGATAGTGAGTGAGTTCTCACAAGATCTGATGATGTTATAATGGGCTTTTCCACCTTTTGCTCGGTACTTCTCCTTTCTGCCTCCATGTGAAGAACATAATGGCTTTCCCCTTCTACCATGTTTGTCAGTTTTCTGAGGCCCCTCCAGCCATGCTGAACTGTGAGTCAATTAAACCTCTTTCCTTTATATAAATTACCCAGTCTTGGGTATATTTTTATTTACAGTGTGAGAACAGAATAATACAATAAAAATCATGGGAAGAATCCCTTGAGTCCAAGAGTTAGAAGCAGCCTGGGCAACATAGTGAAAGCCCATCTCTATAAAAGAGCCAAAGAAATTAGCCAGGCCTGGCGCCTATACCTGTAGTCCCAGCTACTAGAGAGGCTGAGGTAGAAGAATTGCTCTGGCCAGAAGGTTTAGTCTTCAGTGAGCCAAGACTATGCCACTGCACTCCAGCCTGGGTGACAGAGTGAGACCCTGTCTCAAAGAAAAGAAAGAAATGAAGAAAGGCAGGAAGGGGGGGAGGAGAGAGAGAGAGAGAGAAAGAGAGGGAGGGAAAGAAAGAAAAAGAAGGAAGGAAGATCCAGTGTTCACCGTAAGGTATTAAGCAAATATTGGTCATTTTTACTGATGAGAATAAGCCTTGGGTCATCACCATGCTTAGCATCCCCTCACCTGTGTAGCAGACCTAGCATACAGAGCTGTGCCTTCACTTGGGTTGCCTCGTTCTTCAGGGCCCATTATTGTACTTTTTAAAATGCAGTGTTTTATGTTTCCTTTTAGGCAATTT